GGGCCCTCCCACGTCTCAAGGCAGGAATATAGCCAGTGTTCAGAAAGGAGCAAGGAGGAAGTACATTAACCATTAGCCCATGCTCCTGGGAGGCACAGCCTTGGACTCCCTGAGGCCATCTTCTGAGTTGTCACCAGTATTATCATGAAAAAGCCCAAAAGACCTGCTGTAGATATGAAGGAGTGACTTAGTCACAAGGCCTCCTGCCTATTCGTCTCAGACTCCTGTGTATGGAGAGGGGCTGCTGGCTGAAGCCCACAGATGGGCTATCTCAGAGCTACTGCCACATCCCTCCTGAAGGAGAGGGGTAAATGTGTTTCCGTGTAAGAGGAGGTGGAGGGAGTTCCTTCCTGCAGGCCCAAGCCTGTCCAGGTGAGCCTGAGCGTGGCCATCGATACATCAGCCTGAGATGTTCAGGGATGACTAGACACACCCCCACATGCAAACAGTGAGCAAGGGCTCAGAGCTCTCTAAAAGCAGAATTTGCCAACCAGCCCAATCATCACTGCAGATACCATTTGGGAGGTGTGGATACAGTTCAGCCCAGCTGTTTAACATCCAGTTCTCAGACAGCTGCCAGGGACTTCCTAAGCCAACACGAGCTCTGGTTCCAGCACGGCCATCTTAGCAGCATACTCAGAACAAGGGCCCAAAGCAGATTCCAAGTACATGGTCTCTGTGCTGGGGGACTTCTTTCCAGTGCCACAGCAGGAAAGAGAGTCTCAGGGGTATTCTTTTGTGGAATCCTGAGGTGCTGGAGTTGCCTGCTGAAGATGAGCCCAGCCTCAGACTATGGAAGCTGGGCCAGCAGGAAACTGATCTTCCTCTATTTCACAGAGGAAACCCAGACCCAGCTTCATGCTGAGCAGGGCTATGTGGAAAGGAGGCTGTCCCCTATCCTGGTGGAGCTGGCTGGGGTACAGGAAGAAATCCAAGTCCAGAGATGGCAGAAACATCTGAACCCCTGGACTGTGTTTCAGTATGTGAGGTAAGGTGTCCCTCTTACCTGGGAAATGTCAGAGGCAGAGGCTCCTCTGGGTGGAAGGAAGAGAACAGAGCCAGAGTGTGAGTAGTGTGAGGCTGTCCTAGCAGGTACCCCTAGATACTCTGTCCCCTTCAGTGACCCCTGCTCAGGCTAAGATCGCTGGAGATCCCACCTTAATGGGGGATCTTAACGGGGCTCTTGATTAAAAGCCCTTTGAGCTCTTAATGGGGGAAGTGGGTTGAGCACTACAGAAGGATATTTTCAGGTGAGTCTGAGCTAGGCACAGGCCTGCGGACCTACTGATGGTAAAGTGGTCTTGGTGACTGCTTTCTGGCAGCTGACTTGCAGTGTCACGGGGCCACAAGCTGTTGCCTTGAAGGAAGACAGGCTTACACTCAGCTGTGTCGTTGTGACCTGTCTTGAAGACATTTGCCTGCCTACACTCTACGAAAAACCCCCATCAGGCCCCAGAAATCCATCACTCAGCGATGAGGACCTCAAGGGTAAACCTAAGCCTATTAGGTGGGTTTGGGACCTCTTCCGGGTCAGGGTAGGGTAACTATGGAAGCTTGTGGTTGAACATGTCTGCACATGTCTGCCCAAGGCTCCACTCTCCATCATTGTATCTTGGGACTTGTAGACAGCATCATTTTTTTTTTTTTGCTTGCCTGTAAAAGCACTAAGGAGTCTCTCCTCACTTCTTGGCATAGACACAGCCTCAAGTACCAGTCTGTCTTTATCTTAACCTTTGGAAGACCACAGGTCAACTAGAGTTAGGCCATGGGACTTGAAGAGGCCTCTCACCCCTGATGAGATGACCTCACTCATGGACCACACTCCCCTCCTAGCTTTGTGCTGCTCCCTCTTGCGCATAGATCCCTAGACAAGGGTTCCTCACCTTCCCCTCCCAGGGGAGTCATGGGGAACTGCACCTGGGCTCTGGCCTCAGACGAAGCAGATGCCCCACTGTGGGTGAAAGCTAGGTGCTGTGATGCTAGGTGAGGGGTCAGGAGGAGCCGACCCAGGCCTCTGTCCATCCTGTTCCCAACTTTGGAAGCACCTAAAACATGGAGGGTAGAACCCCTTACCCTGTGCCTCCTACAAAGCTCTTAAAGTTAGTCCTTCTTAAGACCTCATTCCCTCCAGAGCTGCTGAGGCCAACCCACATCTATGGGGCCTTGTTCAGTTGTATCAGCAGTAAAAGGTTTTCTTGCCCCCTTCCATGGAAAGTCCAGGTGTGGGGTCAAGGGGTTTCTCTTGTGGTCAGGGTGGAGACTACCACCAAGATGTGTGTAGGCTCCTGTCCAGCTCTTTGGTTCTTTCCAGAAACAATGCATTGCACAATCTGGCTGAAGCTGTGGTGGGAAGGGTGTGCAGGTAAGGAAGGTAACCATTCCCACCCTGGGGCATGAGATCCGGTTGCTTCCTGCCAGCACACCTGCCATAGTTCTAGCCAGAAGTGACAAGGCGGGAGGACCTCAGTCTATGGGTTCTCCAAGAGCTAGGGGATTAGTGACCACTGCACTACCCCACTGAGAGGAAGAGGCGGCTCTCTGGGATACCTGATCCTCTCCAGGAGCAAAGACACTGATTAGGGACTGGCAGCCACTAAGAGGTCAGTGGGGTAAGCGGGTGGCAGAGTAGACCTGCAGAACCAGCCAGCCTCAGGGGTCACAGAATATGCTTCTTGCCTACAGGAAAGGTCACAGTGTCTCAAGCAGGAAGTGTCCCTCTCAGCACTGGTCATGGACAGGAATCAAGCCTCAAAGTAGCCCATACCATTGGAAGTAAACAACTCAAGCAAACAAGGTGGCTGTAGGGATTGGGGGAGTGTCTGGAACCCTTAATATTATGCTGATAGGACTTGTCTGCCTGAAACCCAATGCCAGGCATATTGTGAGGCCTGCCATTGGGACAAAACCCTTCGTGACTTGGGGACTGATAGATATACTTCTGATTTCCTAAACATGAAGATTACATTCAGGCAGAATGGAGCTGACAGTGTCTTGGCAATCAGACCAGGCCTTGACTGGCAGGGCCTGCAGACAGATGGGACTGTAGTTCTCCAGCTGAGCCCAGAGCTTGCCTGTCCAGTGGGAATGCCTGGGAAGAACTGGAGGGCTGTTCTTACACCTTCCCTTAGACTCTGGGAAACTCTTGTCCCCTCTAAGGTTCTGCTTTGTGCTGTCCTTAAGGGACAGTCTACCCAAGAACAAAAGCCCAGATCTAGAATGCTACAAAGGTGCAGGACTGGGCTTGCTCCACCTTACGGTGGCTTTGAGGAACACAACTGAACTCCAGAAAGCTGGTTTCCCCATTGGCCATGAAGGATGCAGGCTCCTGAAGCCCCAGACTAGACCCAGCTGAGCCTGGTTCTTATATCTGAGGCAGCATGAAATAGAAGCGTTGGACACTGAATTCCTGGAGGCTGGGCTTGGATACATGAGTCTGGCTTCCCAGGTACACTAAGCTTGCTATCAGCGTGCTGCCTTGCTGGGTAAGACCGTAACTTACATGAGAAATGTGTTCCTCTCTTCATGCTGTGCCAGAGACATTTAGACAGTCTGACCACACCTCACTCTATCTACTCCACACATGTCCAGCGACCACAGGTCTGAGGTTCCCACCCTGAGCCCCAGGATGCCTCCAAGGACCAAGGTCTAGCTGTTTATCTCCTGCCCTATCAAGTTATAGTTCCAGCTTCCTAGCAAATGTCTAGGTCCAAAAGGTTGGCATTTCACCCTCTGCTCCTAGTGTCTGCTCTAGGAATAGTCACCCTGCTGCCCTCCATGTGTCTGCTCTTGATGAGGTCTGAAGCAGCTGAGCACTGGAGGGTGAAATAGGCATGATCCTGGCCTGCCCATGGGCTACTCAGCCTCCACTTCAGGTCTCTCTGGGCTGTGGGATATCCAAACATTCTTGGCTTAGCCTGGTCACCACCAGATCCCTCTCATCCATTCATGAATTGATAAACTTACCCATTCACCCACTCATTCAATCAACCACTTGGCCATCCGTGCCTTCATCTACTCGCACATTAATCCACTCCTTCATTCAGTCATCCACTGGCTCACATATCATTCATCTGTTCATTCATTCACTAATTCACCTACTCATTCATTCGCTCACTAATTCAGTCACATGTCTACTCGGCCACTCACTTCCCCATTTATTCACTCGTTCTCCCACTCGGTCACTTACTCAATCACTAATTCACCCTTTATTCACTCACTAATTCACTTACCCACTCAGCCACTCTCCCATTTATTCACTCATCCTCCCACTCATTCAGTCACTTACTCATTCACTAAGTCATTCACTCATTCATTCATTCCCTCATTATCCTCTTCCAGGATGTTTCTGCCTCTGAGCATCATCCAGGCTCTTGTTAGCTTCTGTGTAGTGACTGTCACCTTTTGGGATCTCTCTGGAAATAGAGGCAGAGGACTCCCCAGTGGCCTTCTCTGGACTTCCAGGCACCTAGTGAACAGCCTGACATATAAGCTCCCTGGGTGCAAGTCCGTCCTTGTTCAGTTCCTGTATCTATAGACATGTTTGTTTGCTTGCTTTAACAGAACAAAACACACAGAGAATCCACAAATGCTCTTGAGTATATTTATAAAACATATTGGTCATTTCCTGGGGTGGGAGGCACAGGTGCCGGGCTGAGGTGAGAGTGAGGACAAGCAGCTGATACCTGCATCCAAGTGACTGTCATTCATAGGACCCTTGGGTGATAATGAAGGGAGCCCGTGACCATCATGCTCCTCATCCGTGGAGAGGGGCCTCTCCCACCTCCAAGAACGTCTGGGGCCAATGTCCCTCTTGAAGAGGAAGTGGCAGATAGGTAGAATTCAAGCCACTTGAACTAAAGTATATGCCCTGCTGGCCTCAGAAGGACTTCTTGGTTGGGACCTTGATGGTGCTCAGTTTACTGGAAAGGCCCAAGCATGTCCTCGCTGACCCTGAATGCCGACTGCTGGCCATGTTCCTCACTTTCCTTGGACTTGAACTCTTATTCTGAGGACTCTGTGTGGCTTGTGTCCCCTGGAGCATGGCACTGCTGGCTCAGACAGCCACACTTCTCGACCTGGGTGTAGCTGAAGGTCCGACTGGAGCCGTCATCACAGTGAAGAGTCACATTCCTCTGTGAAGTTTGCAGCTCCTGGCAGCACTCACACGTGTGCTCCACTGTGTTGGCCTCCAGGGAGTACCTGCGGGTAGATCTGCTCAGCAGCCAGCCTTGCTGGGAGCTGCCTATGCCTGCCACAGCCTCTGTGTCCAGCTGGCACAGTGCCAAGCTCCCAAGGTCCTTGTCACCCTGTGTTCAAGACCCTACCGACTCACTTGCCAATTGCCCTGGGGCATATGTTTCTGCTACAGCTTCTCTTGGCCACCAGGTGTCCTAAGTCTACAGCTGGATGCACAGCAGTATTGAGTACTTTGGATCTTTTGATACTTCCACAAACGGATACTGCTTTTAAAGTAGTCAGTACAGTCCAAGGAGCTAGGAACCCTGCTGATGCTACCTTAGAATTCATGAGTTATCATAACAGTCTAGAAACCCTGCATCCTCTTTCTCACCTTCCTGGTTCTGCCTGTCTGCCCTGCACCACACACCCCATCCCACCCCTGCTGCCAACTGCATCTCTGAATACTCCCTGGGTTCTCTGGGGCCCATACATACATGGAGGTGCTGTCCCCGCAGTTGCCCTGGCAGTAGGAGATGCTCACTGGGCCCTCAGAGCTGCAGTTTTGCTGATGGATGATCTGCTGTCTTTGGTGCACTGTACATTCTGGGAGGCCAGGAAAGGAGGCAGAAGGTAAGTGTCCAGTAACTTCCTGAGTGCTTCAGGCTGAGATCAACCCCTTTCTTGTCAGATCCCCACTTACTCTGCTGGGGACAATCATAGCAGCATCCATCTTCTCTCAGCTGAGCCTGGCCCTGTGCCAACAATGGGCCATTGTGAATGGCAGGGACAATGAGGCATTGAGATGTGGAGGGATGAGACGTGAGGCCAAAGGCAAACAAGGGTGGGAAGCCCTTCTACTAGAGAGGACAGGCCTGCTGGACATGCAGCACTGCCCTCCCCTTCATCTCCGGGAGAGCTGTCCCCTTGGCTGGAGCAGGGAAGCCAGAACTTACCTTTGGACAGTTGATCTTGGGGCATTCTGTCTTCATTGTCACAACTATGAGTGCATCTTGGAACTTCTCACACTTATGAGTCACACATGGGTTCCCAGGTTCTGACCATAACTCACCAGGCTGCAAGGAGGCCCAGACTGAACAGTGAGTACCCATTCTCTGTCTCTTTACAGCCTATTAGCTTCCAGGGAGACCTGGCACAGGCCAGGCGCATGTCTGTGAGATATGGCTTCTCAAGAACCCCCCAAGGGTCCTAGGGTCCTTTCTACTCAGCCCAGAATCACCAGAACCCCACCTTATCATCCTTAAACCTCCAGAATTTAGACCACACAGAGTCCAGTGCCCCCAGGACCTCGATTGCTCTATTCACAGATGTTGTCCATTTCATGTTTTCTATACCTAGGCTGGAGACTTTGAGTAGTTTGGTGAGCATTGTGGCTTTGCCCCAGCCTGGACAGAACCTTTACAGAGCCTGTGGTCTGCTGTTCTCAGCATCAGTTCCCCTTCCTGAGGTCACCTAGCATGGTCCCAGCTACTCACCCGGTAGAAGTAGGTAGAGTTGCTGCTGTTTTTAAAGGGGCAGGTCTTCTGTATACACTGGCCACAGCACTGTCCTGGTGTGGCCTGGTACTCAAAGCCCTGCAGGAAGAATGGTGTGCTGCCTGAGGTGAGGTCAGGCCATTGATTGGCACAGGCTGATGAGAGCAGGAGTGGAGCCAGCACTTACCTTAGGGCACTGGGTGTTACAGAGCTCGGTCTCACAGTTGACCACAAAGACATCAGAAAGGGAATTGCTGGAAACCTCACACAGGCATCTTTCACACAGGCTGGAGGAGACCATGTCGCCAGGCTGGAAAGAGTCCCGGCTGAGCATTAGTGGGCTCAGGCTCAGAAGAGACCTTCAGTTGCCCTGGCTGCCCACCAAGCTGACTCATTCCCTTGGTGTTACTTTATTGTGAAGAGACCATGATTCAGGTGCTGTCATGGGGCAGAACCTATAACTCTATGTCAGGAGACCCAGGATACCACATACTTGGGGAATGGCATGGAAAAGTCCAGCTGGGGGTAATGAGGTGCTGGCATACCCAGTATGATTTCAGGGAGCAGAGAGCTGCTAGAATCCTGATGGTCTCAGACACCAGGCATGGGCCACTTCAAGGATACGAGGGACAACCTTAACTGCACTGCTCTGAGCTATGTCCACAGAGGCTTGGATCATTGGCCTGGACAGGTTCTAGAGAGGCTCAAGAGCTCCTAGGCTTCTCAGATGTTCCCCTGAGCTCCAAAGGGCTGGTGGGGAACCCCAAGTGGGAACTGAGTCCCTGTAGGCTCTAAGGCCTGAACACCAGTGATTCCTACCTGGTAAAGAGTCCCGTTGACTTCACAGCCCTTCTGACCTGTCCAAAAGACACACTGGCTGTAGCCTGAGCCTTGCAGAGCACAGTCTAGCTTCTGCACCAATAAGATCTGCTGCTAGATACTGGACCACAGCAGGCTTCCTTCCCACCAAGGATAACTACCCATCTCCAACCATCCGTAACTTAGACATTCCCTGGGGAATTGCAGTCCCCAATGTGGCTTGGTGCAAAGGTTAGGGGCGCTTACGGCTGCAGTTCTGGCTTGGGCAGCAAGCTCCCTCCTCATATGTGACGATCAGGCTAGAATTCTTCGGGCAGTGCAGAGGTGGAGGGCAGTGGCTGGAGTTGCAGACTGTGGGTAGAGAAAGCTGTCAGGGGCTGGGCTTCCTCCATACATGCTTCTTTTCTGCTCCAAGGCCCCACCACACACACACACACACCACAGGATGTCATGGCAGCTCCCAGGACCCTGGGAGCAGGCTCTTCAGGCTGGGCAGAGGAGTCTCCACCACACAAACCCAAAGAACACCTACTAGGAGACTCTCAGATCAGGACATGGTACCCTCAGGCAATGTGCAGAGCCTGGGAGGACATGGCTTCTCCCTGCTGCCTCCTGAGGCCATGTACACAGAGCTAACTGCTGACTTGGTGCACCTCAAGAGACAGTCCTACCCATGGGTTTGCAGACAGTAGCAAAGGCTTACCACAGCTGAACTGGGGACAACACTGGCCAGCCTCCAGGGCTACAGTCACCGACACAAAGCCAGTCTCTGAGCAGGTAGGCTGGGGGCAGGACTTCCTTCGGCAGGTCAGCGTGGCATCCTTACAGATGCAGTCCTGGCAGTCGATGCTGATGGTGTGGCCCGGCTATGGGGAAATGACACATGAACCTGACCTGTGAGTGAGCTGCTCAGCCCAGGGGAAACTGTAGCCAAGCCTCATACTCAGGCCCACATGTGCTGAGGAGCTGTGCTGCAAGCCTGAGGAGAGGGCTTCAGAAGTGCAAGGCCTGAGGCACTGAAGGCCAAGAATGGAGGCCAGGAGTTGAGGTGGGAGAGGGGCTTTGTTTAGTGAAGAGCCCTTCCCTACAACTCATTGCATGCCTCTTCAGGGAATAAGGATTACCAGGGAAGAACAGAGCTGACCAGTCCTCATGAGACACCCAGCAGCTTCAGAACACAGGCAAGGCAGGTCCCAGAGAAGAAGGCCTTTCTGAATCCTGTTGGGGGCACCAGCACTCCCCCTGCCTTCATCTGGCCTTTGGCACACTAAGAAAGCCCGACCCCAGCCCTACACTGCCTTAGTTTGCAGCACCTCCTGCCTCAGGCTCTGGTCCCCAGAGACCATCACCATTTATACCTACCTCCACAGGTTCCCCATGAGGCCCCAGACACCCTGTAGAGAAAAGTTCAGTCATTTTGGTTGGCCACATGGGGCACAAATAGAACCCATTGGGCACCATAGTGGGATCTGGGGTCAAGCTACATCCTGCCCCTCCAAACCCACACTCCATGCCCTTGGGGACGTACATTGGCAGGAAGGCACACAGATTGAGTCATTGGTACTGAAAAGGGTTGTGCTGTCTGGACAGAAGCAGCCCTCTGTCTTAGAACCAGCCTCTTGAAGGGTCCTGTGAAAAACAGAGAATTGGTGGGTCCTTCACCTTCAAGTAAGAGTCCAGCCTCGCAGAGCCAAATGGCAGAATTGGGTGTCCAGGGTTTGTCAGCCCTATGAGCAGAGTGCTGACACTTACAAGCTTGGGCTGATGTCATCATCCCGGTAGCAGTAGTGAGGGTTGGATGGGCCACAAGGCTGGTATACTTTGTTATCAGGGCACGTGAATGCTGCATGGAGAGAGAGCCACACCTGAGAAGCCGTCTCAAGGCCCCACTTCTGGGCTCCTCCAAGCTCCAGCCATTGCTGAGTGCTGACACCCACTCAGAAGCCCTCGGTGGCTATCTATGACCTCGAATTTGTCTAGATCAGTGGTTCTCAACCTTCCTAACGATATGGCCCTTTGATATAGTTCCTCATGTTATGGTGACCCACAACCATAAAATTATTCCACTGCTACTTCGTAACTACTTTTGCTACTCTCTTGAATCATAATGTAAATATCTGACGTACAGAATATCTGATAGGTGACCCCTTGACCCACAGGTTGAGAACTGCTTGTCTAGGTCTTTAGCTCTATTGTTTATCCAAGACGGCCAGCACTCCAAGCCCTAAATCCAAAGCACCTTAACTTGATAACCCCCCCTTCTCACAACAAGCCCAAAGCTCGGAGCCTTTCCCTCCAGGGAAGACTGGTCCTGAGTCTGGATGTCCTTCTCCTTACCCAGGCTATATTCTTAGTGCCCCTAAATGCTCACAACAGGGGATGGGAATGTGACTTGGCTGGGCACTCACGACAGGTGTTGTTGGTATAGCTTCTCCAGGAGATGCACACGCCCTGGGCTGCACAGAGTGCTGCATAGAGCTCTAGGCCTGAGCATACCACCTCCAAGTCCAGCATGTGGCAGTAGTCAAATAAGCAGCCTTCATAAAACTGCAGCGGGGCAATGACGTCATGACAGAGCTTGAAGACGCTGTGGGTGGGCAGAGACAATTGTGGTGGTGTGTACATCCATACGCTTCAACTTGCCACACATAGGGGGGGCTCCAGATCTGTGACATCCCTTGGAGGCAAGGTCCTGGGCAATGACTCAGCACCTATGAGGCTGTCTTCCAAGGGCATCCCACCTCCATGTGTCCCAGAAAAGGTATCAGACAGAACATTGTTTCCTGCAATGCCTCTCCTCTCAAGCTCCCTCATTCTGAAACCCTGGGTATTGGCCAGGTGCAGGCAGTGACTGATGCCCATACCACTGAAAGGATCTAGTGGAGGACTTCAGAGATTTAGCCAACCCAGCCACAGCCAGCCCTACAATAACATTCCAGCAGCAATCATTGTCTGACAAGATCCATAAAGACAGTGCCCAGAGCCTGGAACAAGGCAGGTCTCATTTTTCGTAGGAGCCTTTTAAGGACCCCATAGCTTTTAAGGACCAGCAAGGCTACCCCACTTCCTGGAGTCTTACTCGCTTAAGATGAGCTCACAGAGCGGCGATGATGAGCATGGAGTGGGTGAAGGCTTGGGTACCACTGAAGTTGGAGTTGGTGGAGGCCCTTGGCAGGAAGGCTGGTTGGGTACCTTCCAGTGGTGAGACATCTCAGAACAAGAGGAGGCTATGGAACCTCCAGGCAGGCGGCATTCATCCTTTTTGTCATTGGTGCAAGTGCCTGCGGATGAGACAATGGTCAGCCAGCTGGGTGGCAGACCTGTGCCCAGTGTACTCCTGTTGGGGATCAGAACTGGCATCTGTTCTCGATTCCTTTCCTGTGCATCTGGCTTCCCCAGAAGTCAGTTTGGTTCCTGGTGTACAGAGAAGCCACCAGGGAACAACAGATGTGAACCACATGTGTGCACAGTCTAAAATCCCTCTAGGCCCATGGAAAGGCTGCCTTTAACACCCAAACAATATCCAGGGTGGAGCTTACCGCATTGGCCCTCAGTGTTGTTGGCAAACAAGTTGAAGGGCACCTCGACTGAGAAGATGAGACCCGAAAACATGACCCGGACACCAATCTCTTGGATGGTAACATACATCTTGACACCCACACGGGAGACGACAATGCCATTCTGCTGGAAGCCAGGATTGACTACCTTGTTGTTGAAGATGATCTAGACACAGACAGTAGGAGGAAGTTTAGGACTATGGTCCCTATCCCAGACCGAGACTGCCACAACCCCTCCACACACAAGGGCATGTCCACCTGGTTGGTCATGACCCCGCTAACTGGCCTGCGGGTCAGCACCACATGGTCCTGATGGTACTCGACAATGATGGACTGCGGGCAGGAAACACTGTCTCCCAGGTCACAGAAGTAGTTGTCAATGAGCACACGGAAGTATCCAAACACAGGCACGATCTGCTGCACCAGCACGTATGTGCAGTTATCCAGGAAAGTGTAATAGGTGCCATCAAATGTGATGTAGTGGGGGTCACCCCAGCCGCTGCAAACACCTGTGGGTGCCAGGTAACGTACAGCAGGGCCTCCATGTCACCCATGGAGTGGCTCTCATCCAGCTGGTCTAACCCCTCCCCTGTTGCCTGCAAATCAGAAACTCCTCAAACTATTTATCATACCCTTCTGACACACATAGATGGTCCCTTCAGACTCTAGCCTGACAGGTCCTTCATAAGCTGCTGAGACTCTAAGACACAGAGGACCCTTCTTTCTCCCACTGGGCTCTATGGCTCTGGGACTCCGTTCTCTTCACTTGGCATCCCCATCCCTGTCTTCATAATGGAAAGTCTTTCCTGGTGTCCAACGCATTCTCTCCTCCTCTGTCATGCCTCCCCCTGTTGAACCCTAATTCCACTCACACTGGCACTGATAGTGCTGGCAGCAACCATCCTGGTCATCCACCTTCAGAGGTGGGTAGCCATTGGCACAAAATGGTTCCTTCAGCTCTGGGCACTGGCGTGGGCTCAGGGAGACGACATTGTTGCCCTCACATCTGGCTTGGGAACAATTCGGCATGGGCCAGGTCTCCCCTTTCTGCAGAAACAAAGCCAGCTGTGGGTCTGAGTCCTGGGTGATGAGGTTCTCAGTTCTCAGGGTTCTAGAGCCTCATTCCATCCCATGGCCCCACCTCACTCCTGCTAATACATGGAACTGTCTACATGGGCTCATGATGTGCAACTCTCCCTCCCCCATATGTCACAGCTCTCCATGTGCCACTGTGTCCATGGAGTGCACCATCCCCTTTTGTCACCTTCACTCTCATTGGGGGTTTTAAGGTCCAGCCCCAGCACCTCACTACCTGGCAAGAACATCCATACCTGCGAAGCATAGACCAGCCAAACAAATCCATAAAAGAACCCAGCCCAAAGCTCACCCTGTGTCAACTAGGAACTGGTGATCTTCATGAGGACTGACGCTGAGGTCTAATTGAAAATACATCAACGACTCCACAGTGGTCACGAGTCTCCAGGAAGGATGGGAGATAGACTTACCAGTCTTGGAGGAAACACATTGCACCGATTCCGCTCATGGACGGGTGGAGTGGTAGATGTAGACAGAGTTGGTGTGGGGGATGGCATGGTGGAGGGGCAGTCTTGACTAACCCCTCTGACCACCTGACAATCCTGGCTGCACAGTGCATAGTAACAGTGGCCATCAAGGTCTCTCTGGTTGTAGATGATGGATCCTGCAAGACCAAGAGGTATATAGAAAGTGAGAAGGCCCTGGGGGGAAATGTCTGCTTCCAAGACAGGGGGTTGCCAGCCTCAAGACTTTCCACTTAATGACAGGATGAGACTAGAAATGTTTGAAGACAATTGTGGCACCATCTGCCAAAACCAAGGATGTTCACAGAAGAAAATGAGGAAACGGAGTACCTTAGAATTCCGCATAAAAATATCTCACTTACCCAAAGGGTATAACTGGCCTGACACGCTGCAGAAGCAAGGGGTGGTAGAGCGAACCCTAGGGCTGGTCAATGAGGATGGGGACACAGATGATGGTGACACAACTGGAAATGAAGGCTTATGGGATAATGTCACAGGAGGAGTCCGATCAGTCCTGAGGCAGTCTTCAGGAACGTGACAGCACAGCACTCGCACCTCATAGTTGAGGCACATCCTAGAGTCACCCTGCTGGTCCCTGTTGTGACACACCAGGCCCACACTGGGGTCGCACTGCACCACCTGACCCAGATCCTCCAGATCTATCTTAGGATGGTCCACAGCCCTGCATTGCAACTGTGTGATCTCCTCTGGCCGGTGACAGAGTCTCTCTCCACTCCTCTCAATGTTGTTGTAGGTTTCCAGGTCCCCTCCATGTGGACCAGGCACCGGGAAGTCAATGTCAAACCACTTGGTCCAGTTGCATTGCGGCTGGCAGTGGGTGGTCACTGGGGAATGAGTTACCTGAGAATGAGTCCTGGGACCTGTGGTGCTGGTAGCAACCGAGGTGGTGCTGGTTCCAGGAACAGAGAGAGTGCTGGTTTTCCCTGTGAATGTTGTGTGGTCTGTCTGCCCAGAGCTGGTGCTGGTGCCCCTGGTAGAAACAGTGCTGGCTTCTCCTATAGGTGTTGAGCTGCTTTGGGTTTTGAGCGTGGTGCTTACTTTTCCTCTGGAGGGTGAGCTGGTATGGAGTGTTGAGGTGCTGCTGGCTGTCTGCCTAGAGCTGGTGCTGGTGTCCCTGGTGGACACTGTGCTGGCTGGCTGGCTGGAGGTCAGTTTAGGAGTGGATGTTGTACTTTCTGTGTGCACAGACCTGGTGCTGGTTTCTCCTATAGGTGTGGAGCTGCTCTGGGTTTTGTGAGTGGTGCTGGCTTTTCCTGCATGTGTTGAGCTGGTTTGGGTTTTGTGAGTGGTGCTGGCTT